AAAATTTATTTTTTTTATATAAAAAATTATGACAATGGGATATTTGTAATCTTTCAAGGGCAATTTGTATTTTAAGTAAATTTCAAGAAATGTATTTATAATTTACCCTAAAATTAAAGTAATTGAAACAAATGCAAATAATACAAAATCACAATAATAAATAAAGAAAAATATATATTTCAGTATAAAAAAATATGACATCATTATTTTTTATTTATATGACTAACAAATTATTGATAAAAAATTATGCTAAACGCTATGTGAATTAAAATTTTAAGATAGGTTAATATAATAATGTCAAAATTGTAAAAATTATTGTAGTTTCTCCAGACTACAAGAGAGGCTAGTGTAATTAATCCCAATTTTTTTTTGTAAGACTGTGCATATGGTTTTTGTTTAATTTTTATTTGGATAAATTATACTAACATTTTTTAAGATTTGGAAAAAGTATTGTAAACTTTCTAAGATTGACAAAATTAAATCAATTTTTTTTAAAAAAAAATTGATTTGCAAAACACTTAATTTCATTTTTATTAATAATTCAATAGTCATATGAATAAAACAAAAAAATTGATATTATTATCCTTTTTACACTGAAATATATATTTTATCTTATTTATTTTTGTGTCTTTACTCTATTTACATTAGTTTTGATTTCTTTAACTTTATTAAAAATATGACCAATATAATTATGTTAAAATTGTAAAACTTATTTTATTTTCTCTAAATCTCGAAGGAGGTCAATATAATTTATCTATTTTATTTTGAAACATTCTTAATGCAAATAATTTGATAAATTGGATATAATCCTCTCACACTTAAGGTGGGATCCATCAAATATATAGGTCTCACTTTATATGATAAAATTGTCTGAAATTTTATACGCATAAAAAAACTATTTTACTTTAGGCAAATTATACAAATATTTATTAAAATCTGATAAAAATATAATAAGTCTCACAACTTTGATGTAATTACGCATTCTACTTTTTTAATTATATTACAATAATGGTAAACATAAATGAATTTACTGGATATTGTAAAATTATCATTTTGCCCTTCTTAATCTTTATGAAATTACTTAACATAAACAACACAGACCTTGCTTAAACTATAATTTTGATATAATTACACCTACTTTCTTTAAATTTTAAATTCACATGACAAATTGATCAATATCATTAATGTTTGTTGATCTTATGCAAGGAATTTCAAAAGAGAAAGAGAAAGAAAAGATAGATGAAATATAAATAAAATATATTAACATTTCATCTAATTTTATACATCTTTTCTTTTTTCCCTTTTCAAATTCATTCCAAAATTTCTAAACATCCCTTTTTCCTTTCCCTTTCCAAATCTCTTCTCAAATTCCCAACTAAACACAGTGTGAAGATATTCACAAAAAACCCACTTTTTTTTGTTACATGAAAAAGGAAAATCCTCCCTACCCTCCCGCAGGTCCAAGGCAGCGCCCCTTAGATCCAAGGCAGCGTCCCTTGCAGAGATTCTCAGGGTGTCCTGTTAGCCGTTCCGAGTAAGGAGACTATAACCTGGGAACTTGCCCCGACCTCGCACAGCGGGGGAGCATTGAACCCACACCAAGTGCTGATTAGACAATTTGAGGTCCAACCTCCTAACCAACTGTGCTTGGACCAGGGGAGAGGAGAATTGAACCTGTGACCTTGGGGTTTAAACCCCAAGCCTTAACCACAATGCCACCCAATTTCAAGGGAATTAGAGTTTTCTATAATTTAGAGTTTTTGTCACTTGGGTCCCATCTTTTCAATTATGACACATTTGACCGTAAATTTTGAATCTTGTTCTAAATAAGGACAATTGAATATATCATTACTCAATTTCAAGGGTAAAGTCGTCAATTTGATAAAATATAAATTAATTTAACAAAAATTGTCGCCATATTTGACTTTTGAAAAAATAGAAACTAATTTAATGAAAATAAAAACAACCACTCATTACATGATAATCATCCAAACACATAATAAAAATTAATTTAGTAAATAAAATAAATAAATGTGTAAAAAATTTATCAATTTTATATAATTTTATCGGTAGAAATAATTTTTAAAAATTCAAAAACATTTTTTTGACATTTATTTTTGCCAAATTAGTTTATGTTTTATCAAATTGACGACTTTGCCCTTGAAATTGAATAACGGTATCTTCAATTATCCTTATTTGGAACAAGATTCAAAATTTAAGATTATATGTGTCACAATTAAAAAGTCAAAAACCAAAATCACACAAGCTCCAAACTATAGAGATTGTTAATGTAATTCGCCCTTAAAAAAAAAAATTCCGATCTAACCTTTAACTTTCCAACTTGCTTTCACCAGGTACCCCAAGTTATAACAAATGCCACATTTTTCACTTTACAGGTCCCAAGCTAATCTGCATGCTTCATGGGTATTGCAATATACACAAAAGGAATAACATAAATCGATCAAGTATATCTTTCTTTTAAATATACAAAAAAAAAATGCTTCAACTATCATTAATGTATGATTTCCTTTGATTAACACCAAAAAAAAAAAAAAGAAGAAGCTATTACACACTCCAAGCAAACTAGAATATACAGGCCTATAATCAAGACCATCCAAGCTGCAGAACCAACAGAACAGATAAATTAACCATTTATTTTTTTATATATCAAACTACACAGGGAAAAAAAAAAAGGTATGAAATTTGAAGCAAGGCGTCAATTATCACTAGGTTTTGGTTAATTCACGCTTGTTTCCCAGATGAAGCTTTCTCCTTTGCCATCTGTTCAAACAGGCTTCCATCATAAACAGCTCGGATTGTCTCTTTTTGCAGTAAACCATTCTTGTCCTTGCAAAGGACATATAAGATCTTCCACTCCGTATAGCTTGCAAGCCTGTAATTCATCACAACATTTTCCATCGTGTTAGACATGCTAAAATAATGCAAAGTTAACCATAATTAAATTTCTTTGATTCTCAATATGAAAAATAACGAACCATCCTTTGTGGTCCTTTGGGACCCTGTTTGCCTGTAGCATTCCCATTAATTCATCTGATGTTAAGGCATTTGCATTTGTACGTGCGTGCTTGCTGTAAATCTCCTCAAACTTTGAAGGAACAAACCTTTTAGAAATGAAAAAAGATAAGATAAAACTAAAAGATCCAATAAAACTGAGTACAATTCTAAATTCAGTGCTTGGGCCAGTGGATCAAATTAACAATTTACTTTTCTTATCTTCTTTTTTTCATCTCTGGGGTACATTTTAGGCAAGTTTGGTCCTTATTTTAGTGCCTTTGCCTCTCAGTTCAGATATTAGTTCCAACCAAGCTTTGGATTTCAAAGGCAAAATATTGGAACAATAGAGTTCAGATTTTCCGTCAGCTCTAATTTACAGAAACAATGAAAAGTCAAAAAAAACTTTATTTAATAATTGAAGGTTGTGCACAGAGAGATCGAAATTAACTCAAAATGTTAACACAATGATATCCCACTTTCTAAATCATACATAGTTCAAGAAACAAAAGGTAATGAGCCTTGTGAGTTATTAAATGCAGATTGGCCGGCACAACCTAGCATGAAAACACCACTTAGCCTAAAAGTTTACTTATCAAAATTTAACTCCATATCGAAAAGAGCAACAAAATTAACTAAGAAATTCGTAATTGTGCATACCATCTATAGATATAGTTAATTTCCTAGATGAAGTTTAATAATATACTCAATCTTCTAATTTCGTTCTCTTGTTCTGGATATCTTTTTCTTGGGCATAGCTGAAAATATTATATAAACCAATAGACCATTGAGGCCACTGACATTGGAATAGCAGAAAAAAAAGTCCATACTAACCAAAATCATCAGCTTAATTCTAAAGAATCAGTCCTCTAAGGGGTTTAGTTACTATATTTCCTTTAGCTTAAGTGAAGATGTTTACACACACACACACACACAGAATGTGTACCTGCCTTCTGTGTCATAGACACCAGAGTCACTACCATGCTTGGCTTTGTGGATGTTTTTTACCTCAATTGGGAAGAGTAGAGAAGGGAATTTACCCTGCACCACACATTAATTTACTTCATCAATTCTATAGTGTCTTTATCTATCTCTCTATTATTTGATCATTGTCGATGTAATTGTGTCACTGTGATCAGCAGCTCAAGCCATGACTAGTATAAAAAATAATTATGAAATATGGAATGTAACACAAAATCAACTACCCACATTACCATCATGATAAGCCTGGCTGTAGCTCAACCCTATGTTTGGAAAGTGAAGAAAAATTCATGACTTCCCCTTGTTTGGGTGTTTAACAAGTAGGAGGAGAAAGGATTGGGAGGGATTGCTATGACTACAATTTTTGTTCACCTCCAAAATTGGGAGGTTTTGCCCCTACTTCTAATTAAAAGTGAGTTCCAACCATAGATTTGGGTAAAGATTTGGGGAAGGATTTGAAAGGGGAAAGGCCAGGGAATGGAGAAAAAATTTACCATTTATTTCATACACATTTTTCTTTCATTTTCTAAATCCCTATACACAAATTTATAAACCAAACACAACCTTCAAAATAAAATAATTCTCCGTCCATTTCATTCCATTCTCTTTCCCCCTTCTTTTTGAAACAATATTACTCTTCTTCGCCTTTTCCCTCCATTTATTATCCAAACAAAAGGTTGTAGCCCTTCCCACCCGTTCTCTCTCTCTCTCTCTCTCTCTCTCCCCTCCCACTCCCACTCCCACCCGTTATGCCTTCAACTGAAAATCATGTTATTCACTTCATAATAATCATATTAACGACAAAAGTAAATATCAACTGTCAAGAGCATTGACCCAAAAAGGCTTCAACAAGTCAGCCATAGTTTTTTTCCTTAAATGAAAGTTACATTACCAGGTCAATCTAGTATTCTTTAGTAAAGCAAATCTTAAGGTACTTAGACAAGTAAAAAAACACTATAGCAGGGATTACATGTGTGTGTTTGCGCAAGCGGGAATTTGACCCAGATTTTTAAAATTTGCTAGATCAATTAAATTAGTTTGCAATAGAACAAAACTTTGGGACAAAAGGTTTGTTGAGTTGAGTTGAGTTGAGTTGAGTTGAATAGAACAAAACTGTAAGTGGCACAAATTGAAAACAATCAGAATCTGATTGTTAGTCTTGAAAAAAATGTTTCAATTAAACAGGGAATAAATCACAGATCTACAAACCTAACAATTTTTTGTGTCATCCGTCAAATTTGGTCTAGCTTTTGGTAAGATATCCAAATCATTCGAACAACCATATTTATCTTAAACAACTAAATTTTTTTCTTCTATAAATTAACATAATATGATCAAATTTATGTCTAATAATATACTGTTTACTTGTGCATTTCTTGTGCCATGAAATTCATAGGTATTAGTCACTACGAATAAATTTCTTCTTCAAATGGAAAACTTTGAATATGTACTCAAAACATGGTTAAAATATAAGAGGGGGGTGGGGATTTGTATTTTTCTTTACAAAAATAATGCCAAGGCACAAAATTAAGACCATATATACAACATCTATGGCTGACAAGTTTTTCATCTCCACATGTCACATAAAAGCTACTCCACTTAAGCAAGTTGATCATTTTGATCATCCTCCTATATTTATTGGGTCTTGAGTCTCTATCAACCAAGTCAACAAATTGATGGATGATGATCAAGAACCATCCAATTGAACAGTATCTAGCGAATGCAGACAAGATTGATCATACAATGCTCTTTCATTGTCCAAATGAAAAAATTCTCCAATTTGATGGTTTTTACAAAACAAACAGTAGTTTGAATTGGTCCACCAATCTTGGGGACTATTGAAATCAACCGATGGCGCCGACTGCAATATTAGTTTTATCCGAGGAAGCAGTATGTGTGTTGACTGCATATTCCCATAAAAAAAGCTTTGTTTTAATGTATAATATTCAAACTAGGTAATACTACCATCAACATAGTCGTCGTCATGGTTGTTATTGTTTTTATTATTTTTTTCATGTGATCACATGCTTACATTTTGTTTGTTTTCGGCTCGCAAAGACTTCGATAAAAATTAATTAAAAATAATGAATTAAAACAAAATAACAACCCATTTCAGATAATTCATTTATCATAAATTCATGATTAATGTAACAACCACAATTCTTTGTACCCAAAAGAAAAAAGGACAAATTATACTATATTTTGGCTCTTTTATTTTAGTACTTATAATTTCAATTGATTTGATTTTAATTTTTATTTTATAATTTTAAATCAATTTGGTCCAATTGATTACAATTGTTAGCTCTTTTAATAGAAAATACACACGGAAGTGGCATCTGTCATGCTTTTATAAATAAAATTGTAAACTTGTTCAAAGTTAACTTTAACCAAAAACATTAATCAGCATTATTAATTAGACCAACACCAAATCAAGGAATAATAGTTAAAATTGAACTAATTAAAACTAAAACCACGCGAGAAGCAAAATGCAAGGAGAAATAATTTACCAAAAAAAAAAGACTGAATTATAATTTATGCCAAAAGAGAATGATCAAGAAACAGGCAAACCCAGAAAATAGGATGCATCAATCCACCTATGTATGTATACAAATGTATAGACACGGAGAGAGAGAGGAGGGAAATTACAGGACGAGTTTTGTGACTGAGTCCGGCGTTAATAAAAAAGGAAGCAAAGGTGGACAAGAAAATGCCACACCCAATTGCACGAAAACCTGGTAAAGAGAAGAAAAAAAAAATTAAAATTCAATAACTATTTCCGAGAAATATATAAATGAAATAAATTTTCTTGTTCAAGAGATTCATTTTTGAATAAAGTAATATAAAAGAAGAGAGAAGAGAGTGAGAGAGAACCTTGAAAAGTTTCCCAAGGATAAATAACTCCGTCTTGGTTCCGATCGAAGAAATTAACATGTTTTTGCAGAGCGTTCTCATCATTACCATCCAACCCTATACATAATTATTAAACGAACATAACCCAGAATAAAAACCAGACCAAACAGTTGCTATTTTTGGGGAATTGAGACATATAGATCAATATAATGGGTTTGAAGAGTTTCATACCGTCATCGTACTGAATCCTGTTTGGGGAAGCTTTTGAATCTGACAAAGCCATTATTACATATATACCTTTCTTTATACCAAAGTTAGAGAGAGAGAGAGTGAATGATTTGTGATGGGTTATAAAAAGGAGTGGAAATCGTTTGGATAAGAGGGAGAAAAAGAATCTTCATGCTTGACACTCAAACAATGGTCGGTACAAAAACATAAACAAACATAGATTCAGACCTTGCACATACACATACGCGAGACAGTTTTATAAGTTTAAAAATATGATAATTTATCTTGCAATTATGTAGTAATAAAATTATCGATAAAAATATATCATCTATGAAATTAAAAAATTAAAAGAACAAAATATAACTTTTAAAATTATAAACAATAATTCGTATTTTAAATAAATATTAAAAGATGTATTTTTTATGAGTGGTGTTATTAGCCTCTCGTGAATTATTTTGGATCTTTTATTTCTTTGATCCCCTATTTATAAATTTTAAAGCCCTCAAAAAAAACTTTTCTCCTCAAATAATATCAAAATTATCCTTCTAAAAACATTTCACCCATTAAATGTACACCCCCCCACACCCGAAAAAACCCATCTTCCAAAAACTCTAACAAAACCCACCAAGAAAAAGAAGAGCCAATGTGATTATTATCTCTGCTGCCTCATCCACCATTGTCACAGTTGGTATACTCTCTCTCTATATATATATATAATTTCTTAGTTTTTTGGTAATAATTTATTTTCTTGCAGAAAAAAATTATAATAATTAGTTTTGTTGGTAGATATTATAAAATTGTGAGTTCAACAGAGAACTATCCAACAATATTATCAAAGTTACGTGATGAATGAATAACTTTTGAACCTGATAATGGGTTTGGGCTACTTTCGATAACATCTGCAAGTGTTAAAAATTTTAAAAGCATTCAATCATGTTAAGAAATTTTCATGTTCGGACCTACATTTCCCGAACATTACTTATTTGTTCGGGAATGCTTTCAAACAAATAAGAAATGTTCGGGTATGTATTCTCAAAACTTAAAAAAATGAAATTCTGGCTAGCGTTATACAATTTGACCGTTCAATGTGTTTAAAACAATTTTCATGTTTGGACCTTGCATTCCGAACATGTACTTAATTTTGTTCCGATAACCCATCTCTGAATAATAAGTAATGTTTCGTCTTTTTTTCGCCAAAGGATTGCCACTGTTACTCGTCATAAATATTGTCATTGTCGAAAGGTAAGTATCCAAATGGTTCCGTTGTTTTTCAATTGACGGCATTAATTTTACACTATTATGGATTAATTTCACATTGAAAGTTCTATTTGGTCGGCACTTAATGCATTTTGGCATTTGCCAAAATAAAAAAACATATATTCCTCAATAATAAATAATTAAATAAATAAAATTAAGCATTAGTCGACGGTAGACGTTTGTGGTGTTTGTGCTAATTTTACATTGGAATAGTTCTAATTTCTCAGCAACATAATGCAATTGCATTTGCCAAAATAGAAAAGATTATACCCAAAATAGGTACTAGGCAAGTATGATGTCTTGGTTGTGCATGTTTAATTAATAATAATAACATTGGTCATTTAGTTAAGAGGAAAT